GTTTATGTAGGAACTAATGTAAACAGTTATTATAAATAAACACAAACATATATACATACATACATAAATACAATACATACAAACATACAAACATACATACATACATACATACATACATACATACATACATACATAAATACATACATACATTTATACATACATACCTACATACATACATACATAAGCAAGAAATTTTTCTTCAGAAGATTTTTAAAGTATGTGAACAGTTGGTGGAATAGCGTTGTTACTTGTCTGTTGTTAGAAAAAGCCAATTACTAAAGTTATTAAAACAAATTATAATTGATAATAATAATTATATAATTATTATATTAATTGTAATAATAATTGTTATTATTATTTAATTGTTCAAGTTCTTGAGTTTTTTTATGATTTTTCTGGGCTTTTATTAATTGCACTAGCTTGTATACTAATAAATTATCTGTAATTATTTTTAATTATTTGTATATCATTTTTTTATTACGACGTCATAATTGCATTAATTACAATTAAATTTATTTTGAAAAAATATAGAGTTATCTGTTAAAGATTTAAAAAACCCCGGATTTAACAATTGTAGCATGTAATATGGTTAACTAGTTGATAGTTTCAATATATATATATATATATATATATATATATATAAAGAACTAACTATATAAAACATAGACAACTTATATACGGACTAACAACAACAACATAGCAACAACAACATCAATAACAACATCAACTGAAGCTGTCCAATCAAATATTATTATATTATTATCATCATCTTAATTGCTCACAGTGCAAAAGCAATAAATCAACAAATAAATAGCAACTACTACCACTAATACTACCACTACTACTACTGCTCTACTGCTACTGCTGCTGCTGCTACTACTACTGTTACTACTACTGTTACTACTACTACTACAGCAGTGATAACAAAATCAAGAAAAATGGAGATGATATATTTGCAACGGGTCACTCAAGATATACCTTGGGGTTTCCGTCTATATGGGGGCAGTGATTATGCCCAGCCCCTCAGCGTATTTAAGGTCTTTTGTTGTTGTTGTGTGTGTGCGTATGTGTGCGTGAAATGACATCAGCCAAATAGTGACGTCATCACTCTCGTCCTAACTATTTTTCCCAATATAAAACTATATTTAGATAATTTTTTTCATTCTACAGGTTAACGCCGGCAGCATAGCTTCCGGAAATCTGCAGGCCGGTGACGTCATACTGACGATAGCCAATCAGGATACGAAAGAGATGTCACACGCGCAAGCGTTGCAAGAAATTAAAAATGCCGGAAATACTTTACAAACTCGGGATTTCCAGGTTTCGGTTTTTTATTTGGACATTTTATCCCCTTCGTTTCAAATTGTGATTTCAAAAATTTTGTTTCGTAAATTTATTTAGTTTTAGCGCTGGCTCTGTTCCAGTAAATAATAATAATAATGGTAAAAACAATAAGAATTATTATTATTAATATCATAATTATTATTATTATTATTATCATAATTATTATTATTATGAAAGGAATAAACAGCAGCACCAAGATCAGCTGATCAACGACGTGACGTCACCATCATCGTATCTGCCCGAACCGGTACGTTGTGGTTGACGATGAAGCATTTTTTTTTCTATTTTTAGAAAATAAATCAATTATTTTTCAGCATTATTATTATCTGAAAGTTACATTGAATTTTTTATAAACGTAATTACGTTCATTTTGATGGTTGTTTCACAACCTCTAACAGATATCCTTAGATACTTTTAGCCAAAAACTGAACTTGAACAGTAACAACAACAAAAACAACAACATCGGCAGCAGCAACGACAGCAACGACATCAACAACAACTTCAACAACAATGACGACAACACCACATCTTCGACCACAGATGCATACAACAACTTCAACGCTACTACACCTTCGTGGAGCCAGCAACAGCAGCAGCCATATCAACCACTCCCACCACCTCCGCCACAATCTTTTCAACCATACCAACCACCACAACCACAGCAACCACCACAGCCTCTTTCGCCACAACAACAAAAAATTCCCGACGCCCTGCTAAGTTTGGCCGTGAAAGGCGATTCAAAGAAACCATTTTCATACGTAGCTGACATTAATGATATACAGGCCCAGAGAGAGAAAGTTAAGAGGAAGTAAGTGTGGTCGCGTTTTTTTTTAATATTTCAAATAATAAAAATCCAAAAAATCGTACCTTGAACAATCAGGGGCGTGCCGAATCAAGCCATCCCTCGATACCAGAACTTGCTCTCCATGCCAAAGTTTGACGACCCACCAAAACATCGGGGCCCACCTTTGACCTTTAACCCTCAAATCAGCGGCGGCAGTCCCAACGAGAAGGGTGACGCCGTAGTGGCTAACTTACAGTTCAACAGTCCCATGAACTTGTACAGCAGCGACAATGTTATTGAATCTTTGAAGGGGCAGACGGGAGCCGAAATAAAAGATGTTGTCGGGTTGGTTGTTGTCTGGGGTATAAAATTCGAAATGTTTGATCATATAAAGTTTATTTAAAGTTTAAATTGATTTGGTAATATTTCAAATTTTGTACCCCTACAGAAGGAAGATGATAAAAAATGTAAAAAATTATAATTTCAATATCATGACGGCAATTTTTTTCTTTGAAAATCTGGCAGACTGCCACAGAAATCTCACAGTGACGTAACGCAATCTCCGGTTTACAAGATGATACATGGAATCGATCAGCCCAAACCCAAACCGGCTATCCAGTATGCAGAAGGTGGTTGAGTTTTTCCCTACAATTTCAAATTATCTCAATTTATCTACATTTTCAGTGATCGCTCATTAGCATTTTTCTGAGGTGCCAGCAACAAACATACACAGTGCTTTTAAATACGCTGAATCTGGAACGCATCACACTGCTTCTACACTCATATTTGTCGAGTATTATCAATTTGAAAATTTAGAGAAATTAAAGTTTGCAACTCGTCAGTCACTGTTATTTGTTTCATTTCAGTTTATGATCTTGAAAAATATTTCATATCTCTCAATACGGGATATATTCGGTCAATCAAACTCGATATCTTTATGATTTGTAAAAAAGTTTAACGCTATTAATGCTGTTTTCATTCTAATAGACAACTCTTAACACATTTTTAAATCATTCATTTGATTTTTAACATGAAAATTTTTAAAATTTTTCGACAAAACAACTGCTTGGGCCGCATAAATACTTCAACGCATGCTAACTGAAAGCCAAAGAGCAAGAGTCAGGTTAATTCCAGCTTTCAAATATTTTTACATGTGTGGTGTGGTATTCTCGCGATGATGATGTTGCATCTGCATATGATTTTGTTGATGGTGCTGTTGTTTATGTTGTTTTGAGATTGTAGCAGCCAGCTGTTTGTGTTGTTGTTTCATTTTACCCTCCCTTCCAAACGATGTTGTTTGTGTTGTTGTTTGCTCTGACTACCAACATTTTCCCAGCTGATTTTCCGTTGGTATTCAAAATCCTGGAAGTTGTAGTTACATAAGATGTTGTTGGGTTCGATGCCAACAACAACAAATTTGTTTGATAGCCATTAAAAAAAACATTTCATGGTAAAATGTGCTATAATATGCACATCTCTCAGTTACCACTTCAAAGATGAAATCACTCCGAGTGCTTAAAAATAAACCAGAAACAATTTCACAGAAATACACACCACATACACACCTCACATACACACACAGACATAAACATACACAAACTAACAAATCAGAAAAAAGAAAATAAAAACAAAACAAAAATATTTTTTGCACCTCGTATATTCTTACTTGTAGTAAGTTTTCAATCAAGTTGGTCTGGTGATAAACAATCAGTGTATGATAATATATTATAACATTATATTCACACACACACACATACACACAACACACACATACATACCAAACAAACACACATACACTTACACACACATTTTTTATGCACATTCACACACACACACACATACGGAGAAAGATAAAGGTTACTACACTCACTGACACATAATATCTCTCACACACATAAATAAACCCACTTATAAACACACACATACACATGAATACAAACACACACACAGCACACGTACATAGTATTATCTTTTACACGTGTCTAAGATGATACAAAAGTTTCAGATTGGTGTTATCTAGTAATATATATTGTTAGTACATATTATTTTTATTCATGTGGGTATATTTACATTACTCAATTGAACATAGGTAGGGACCTAATAAGAGCAAATAGTTTTATAATGTCGATTATTTTTTTAAAAATAATTTTTTTTTTTCTGGCGAGGATAATATTTTGGATTAAGATTGGTTTGCTTAAGCCATTCAGCAGCTGGTTGCAGCGTTTTTGTTATTGCTGCTGCTACTGCTGCTACGTTTGTTGCTTGTAGCTGCTTCAATGATGATGATGAGGAGGAGGTATGGATGGAAATAATGATGATGTATGATATCCTTTTTGTAGTGCGGATGTAGTTGCTATTATTACTGATGCTCTCTGTAATGATGATGTGCTTTAACAAACATGAGAACAACACTAAAACTACTAATCACAATTGTAATACTAACATATCTTCTAAGATATATAACTAAAATATCTTCATTAATAATTAGTACTGATAATTATTTCAGTATAATAATACTTATAATTTAAAAATTATCCGATGCACAGACGACCGCGTCCAAGCGTTCAAACCCTCAAAATACACTGGCAACGCCATACCATCAAGATCATTCAGAATGCTGCAGAGTATGACGTCTGGCGAGAATAAACTGCCATCAGCTGGTCAGGCTTATAATTTTTTTATTATTTTATAATTATCTTTATTATTATTATTATTATTATTATTATTATTATTAACAATCCAGTCGACAGATCAATCTACCAATCTTCAACCAGTCATTCATCAACTAGCCAATCTTCAACCAACCAATCACAATCAGCCAATCCTCAACCGACCAATCACAATCAGACAATCATCAGCCAACCATTCATCAACCAACCAATCAAAACCAGCCCTGAAGCAATCTCTGACAGACACGGAAGACGATAGCGACAGGCACTTTCCCAGACAACCAACTGGAAACTTTCACTTTCGCGACCTCAACGAACCGACACAACAGCAGCAGCAACAGCAGCAGCAGCAGCAGCAGCAACCACACCAGCAACAACAAGCCCAAGATTACCCCACCTATTACAACAACCTGCTGAGAAATACTAACACATACACACCCAACTACAATAGTCCCAATTATGCAAATCCTAATTACGGGACAACGTATTCAAACGTACCCCCCCTGTATGGAAACGTTAGGAGGGGGTCCCTGGAGAGAAGGGAGGGTAGCTCCGAGGTGGACACTTCTTCTATCTATCAACACATCAAAGGAAGAGGTTTCGATAACGATGATGATAACGACGATGGTGACGACGACGATGATGATGGTGGTGACGATGATGATGACGATGGGAGTGACGATGACGACGATGATGACGATGATCATGATGATGATGGGGTGTGATTGATGGTGATTGTGAAAAATTATCGTGATGATGATGACAATTCGATATTGTTAAAATGAATGGGATGGTTGGTGGCTGGAATGATTAGAATTATTATAATAATTATCAGTTATAATTATACAAATGTGATACACTAATATGATATTGTTAAAATGATGATGGCTATAATGACTTAAACGTATATCATAAACAATGATATACAAGCGTGATACCCCCACCAATCTCATATTATCACTCAAAGGTCCCGAAGAGATGAATCCCAAAAAGGTGAGATATGTTGGCAAGAGCATACCTTCAAAGAGTTTCAAGTTTCTTCAAAATATGACCGGCGGTCCCCAAGATGGCGATGCTTTACCATGTTTGTCTATATGTGCATTTACGATTCTCTCTCTCTCTCTCTTCTCTCTCTCTCTCTCTCCCTCTCTCTCTTCTCTCTTATAATACATTTTTTGTTGTTGTAATGCAATCAATGTTAATTGCTTCAGTATAGGATGAAGTATTCTTATTTCATTAAGTTATCATTCGATATTTCAATAAACAAAATGGCATTTATCACTGTTTATGAGAAAAATTCATTTCAAATTTGAGAAATGTTTGTTGTATTAATAATAATAATAATAATAATAATAATAATAATTAATAATAACAATAACAATCTGCTACCGTGTCACCATTCACAGCCAAGAGACGACAGCCGGTAGCTGATTCAGACGTTGAACATTATACTGGTGAGACTAGGCACTTCAAACCTCCACAACACTACACAGACAGTAAGTGTGTGTGTGTGTATGTGTGTGTGTATGTGTGTGTGTGGTGTGAGTGTGTCTGTATGTGTGTGTGTGTAATGTTTCTTATTATTCGCCAGGCAACCGAGGAAAACCGATTAATGCAAGTCACCAACAACCCGTTGAGGAGCCAGAAAGTACCGATTTCTAAACATACGCATACACACACACAGACACACACACAGACATACACAGACATACACAGACGCACCACACACACACACACACACACACACACACACACACAGATACATATAAATACACACAAACCCATACACACATACACTTTGTGTATAATTTACTTTTAATTTAAAATAATTTTTTAAAAGTATGATGGTAAAATAAAATATACCAAGCAACTTAACTTACCCTTCTTAATTTAATTGATTGACGTAGTTTTTCATTGAAACTTAATAAATATATTTAAAGATTTTTAATTATTTTTTTTTAAATAAAAAAATCATGAAATAGATTTTCGAATTATATATACATATATTACATACATGTATATGTCTTTATTCATTTTTTATTGTTTAAATTTCAAAAATTTCATGAAACATACAAATTTATTCGTATTAAGATTTGTTGATGAAGCTCTATAAAATGATTTTTCTATTTATACAATGCATGATAATATATTATCTTTGGTAATGTATAATAATTCATTTGAATGACGTCAGTGTGAGGTTGCGTTTTTTTCATATGATTTTTTCTTCTTAATAAACGACGAAATAAAAAAAAGAATTTTTTTTACGAAATGAATTTATTTTAATTAAATAAAATCTAAAATCCATGTTACTAAATATTTCGGAGGAATCGTTTTCATCCTAAATAAACCAAAAAACGGACTATTCCAAGCGTATATTGCTATGTATTTCTGGACATTCCTGGGTACTGCTCTTCTTTATTGCGTCTCTTGATGTTACATAACAGATATATAATGCCATTCCCAAACGGATAATCAACAAAGAACAATTTTAATTAGTTCTACCACTATTTGATATGCGTGAGCCAAGAATACCTTGAACAATGAACACGGTTCTAGAATTGTTCTATGATTCCATGGTGTGAACACACACACACACACACACATATACGCACACACATATACGCACACACATATACACCCACATAAACAAACACAAATCAACACAACATGTGCCTTGTAATTTTGATGAAATTATCTTCTTTTACTATCCTTTATCGAGAAATTCTTTACATATTGTTTCTTCTTGTTCTTCTCGTTTTTCTTGTTCTTGTTCTTTTTGTTCTTGTTCTTCTCCATCTTCTATTTAATAATATGGTTCGTTTCGTCTCGTTATTACAATAGTATGTTTGGTATTGTATTATAAACATTAATAAGTTTGGTAATACTCATTACATATTTTTAGCTAGTGTATCATGATACAACATAATCGAGCATAGGAAGTATCAGAATATGATATATAGAGATACAAACATTAATTCCATCTATACATACGTTACCATAAGCTGTGTATTTTTGTTTATAGTGAGTGTATGTGTGCGTGTGTGCTGTGTATGTGGGTATGTATCACACACACATACATTATATATTGACGGTTGTATTTGCCGTTGCATGATGTTGTTGTGCACATCACATTATAAGCTTAAGTGTACAGGCTATATATGTGCACGACACCTGTGTAGTGTACAGACTGTTGTGTGTGTGTCTGTTTGTGTGCGTGTGTGCACGTGTGGACTATGTACTGTGTATCAGTGTTTCTCGTTTGTGTGTGTGCGTGTGTGCGTGTGCGTGTGTGTGTGTGTGTGTGTCACTTGGGTGTCTCATGTTTCAAATCCATTAACTTCCATGTGTCATGGTGGATGAGATACTGCTTGCTCTGTTTGAAGAACTTTTGATTTAAAATCTCATGATATGGCTACTTAATCATAAGGACCTATGTATAACAAAACTAAAAAGTTGAGAGGAAAGAGAAAGAGAGAGAGGGAGGGAAAGAGAGAAAGAGAGAGAGAGAGAGAGAGAGAGAGAGAGAGAGAGAGAGAGAGAGAGAGAGAGAGGAGACAGACAAACAGACAGACCCACAGCAGATACAGAAAGATTAAAATTTGATGAAATTGAAAGACATTATGGTATTGCTCGTTAGTTTAATAAGTAATAATCAACCATTCTTTAATCTTTTAATAATGTCTTATTCTGATAATAATCATATTTCAATCAATAAAATAATTGCCTATTTATAAGTCAAACACACCAAGACTCAGCTTTTCGTAACTAAAATATAAATTTTTCATCGAAATATCATCAATGAATGTTTCAATATAAATCTTAAGTTCGTCTAATACTCAATCGAGATTATCATTCTTGCTTGGAGAACATGTTTGATGAATGCATGCACGTGAAAAAAGAATAAAAAAAAACTTTTATGGTTTTTGATAACGTTATGCATGAACGAATAAAGTTAATTTAAATTTAAATCAACGTGACACCTGGATTGATCAGATTTTCAAATTAGAAATTAAATTAACTAAATATTAAATCGACTAATTAAAATAATTGTTTCGAATTCATTTAAAAATTAGTTTTATCAGAAGTATTTTTGTTTATTTGAAGTGATTTCGTTATAAAAGTTTCTCGAAACACCTGATGATAACTAACTACTAATTCTAATCTAATACTTAATAGTAATCACTAATCAGAAATCACTAATGGCCACCAAGAACACTGAACATTGTTCAAACATCTTTTGACTATTAAATTTATTTCGATCTAAAAAAAATTAAAAAATAAGTTATTGAATCAATTGAATAAACATTCAAAAATGTTCTTGTTTAAAAAAATTTTTAATCAACTGAAATTGGAATTTTTTTTAGCTTATTCCTTCATTAACCTTTTAAAAGGATTAATTTAATTAATATTAATTAAACTTTTCCAATCACAACAAACCCCAAGCCAAGTAAAAGTAAAAGAGTGAAAAAGTAAGTAAATACATTTTTCTGTTTTTACACTACTTAATATTTTGTTTCTATATCTGGTTTCATTGGCATTGTTAATTATGCAATCATAATGATAACCTGATCTGTGAAAAAGTGATTCTGATTAGTCAGTTAGTAGATTACCTATTTTTAACTAGTATATCATGATACAAAATAATAGCTGTTAAATTAGTCATCATTAGTTTTTTCTACTGTGTGATTAGATTGGATCTAGAACATTAAATACAAATTAGTCAGATCAGTAATTTATGAATAATAATATGCTGCATGATGTTCATATGATTTACTCATGAAAATTGTCTTTTGATCCAAGCTAACTTTGTGTGGTTAGTATAGTAACCATGCATATAATTTGTTGCATATGTATGAAATATGTATTCAGATATTAATTTATATATTAGTGTAATGTATATTATACACACACCCACACACGCGCGCGCAGGCGCGTACACGCACATACAAGCATACACACACTCACACACACATATATATATATATATACATATATATATATATATATTGTTTAGTATATGCCATATCACATATAATTAGTTTAACAAATTATGTGTTATAACTTTTGCTGATTAAAATTGTAATCAGGACTGTAATTAGTTTTAAAGTTATTATGTAGCTATATATGTATGGATGCGTGTGCGTGTGCGTGTGTGGGTTTGTGTTTGTATTTCTATTGTTCAACACCAAATGATGTCACTCAACTTTTTTATCTTGTTTTATCTTTGTTTTTGTATTTTTATCTTTGTTTTTGTATTTTATTTATTTCGGTAGGTATACATCAGTTGTTTTCTTCTCTTTTCTTTTTAAACACATGGAAATTATTTTTCGCACATACACACGCACACGCACAGACAGAATCATGATCACAAATAGAAATACAGCCTTTATAGTGCAATTTTTAATGCTTAACTTTATAGATCCTTCTCTCTCTCTCTCTCTCTCTTTCTCTTTCTCTCTATCTCTCCTTCTCTCTCTCTCTCTCTCTCTCTCTTTCTTTCTCTCTTTATCTTTCACACACATACATACACACGCTAACACACACACACACATTGAATACAATAAACCTATTCATGTGAAAACCATGAATGAAAGAACATGATCATTATTATAATGTGAAAACCCCTTGCATTAAATGTCTGAGGATAGCATATTTAATGTTCTCACATGTTCGTTAATGATTTTGTAATGGAATGTAATGTGATGTAATGTAAAGTAATGGTAATCTTACATGCATACACATACATGCATACACATACATACATACAAACAAACAAACACACACATACACAGCTTCACAAACACGTTTACATACACTAAAAAATGTACACGCACATACATACATACAAACATACATACATACATACACACAAAAAAACATACATACATACAAAAAACCCTACATACATACGTACGTACATACATACATACATACACACAAACATACATACATATGAATGTGTATAACAATGTTTCCCCCTCATTAAATACTCCACACATGCATATTAATTAATGGAAATAAGCCCGGTCACACACACATTCACACATTCAATCATTTATTTTAAGATGGAGAGAGAGATGAGAGCAAGAGAGAGAGAGAGAGAGACAGAGAGAGAGAGAGAGAGAGAGAGAGAGACAGAGAGAGAAAGTGAAAAACTTGTATTTTTTATGAAAGCTTCACACACACATCACAAAACGCTTGATTATCAGCCAATAGACATTAGATAGATGGTATTGGATGGTGTTTTTTTAATGTATGAAGCAGACACAAATACACATTTTTTCAAGGTTTTTTCACTGCAGTGTATATTTTGTACTTTAGAGGGAGTTTTTTTTGTTTTGTTTTGTTTATTTTTTGTTTAATTTTTGGTTTTCTAAGAAGGTTTCCAATTATCTGATAATGGTTTTACAGGCACGACTGGATGAATCAGACATGTTTGTATGTTAATTCTTTTGAGGTTTCTGTTTCTAATAGCAAATAATCATGTGTTTTGCACATTTATCATATGTGTGTGTGTGTAAATTGCACATTGTGTGTGTGTGTACATTGCACATAAGATGTTTTTATATATGTGTGTGTGTGTGTGTGTGTGTGTGTTTGTGTGTATGTGTTTTACAACGTTACTATGCCTGATTAAAAACATCAAAGAAGTTTGGTAGGTGTTCAATTGTGTGAGGAAGTACATAGCATTTACACTGAACATAAGTTTTATTAATGTTTTATTTGATGATGACGACGACGATGGCGAAGATAATAATGACGATGCCGATGATGATGATGATGATAATGATGATGATGATGATGATAATGATGATAAAGAAAGAATGATATAGTATCAATCACAATTAACGTTTGTTGGTTTGTTAATATGTAGTAGGAGAAGTAGTGATGTAATTATGTTTCATCTTTCTTGTGTGTTCATCCCATACTCACCTAACATTTAAGTTTTTTATCTGGCAAGTTAGAGATAAAATATTTAATTGAGTATCCTATCGTCATCATCGTCGTCGTCGTCGTCATCATCATAGACATTTTTATAGCACTAGTTAGATATGGATAATAAATTTTAATCTGTTGATATTGGAGAGCCGAAATGCATGTACTTGCTTGTTTGTATCTAGTACTTGTTAAGTCTAACTAAAATTACGTGTCTATGTATGTGTTTGTTGGTTTATTTGTATTCGTATGTATTTATTTATGTGTTTGTATGTGTGTATGTGTGTGTAAGTGTATGTGTGTGTACGTGTATGTGTGTATGCATGTATTTTTCTTACCTCTATATACACAACATCATCCTCATCATATGCATTGTCAAATGCATTGAGCTTCTAGCTAAAATACACATTCTACACACGTTCACACCACACAAACAAACAAACACACACACATATATGTATATATGTGTGTGTGTATATGTATATATATATATATATATATATATATATAAATGTCATCTATACATATATGTGTATTCCTATATGGGTATGTATATGTATATGTGTGTATTGTATTTAATATAGACCTACATAAAAGGATAAAAGGCCCAACTCATCACACATATATAAACAGCAGTTGAATGAATGTCTGACTTATTGTTTGAATGGATATTCATATAGTCAAATATGTATGTGTTTGCTAAATGCTAATATTGCTATTACTGCATTAAACACATTATTTATGTAAGTAAGTGTTGTTGTTGTTGTTGTGTGTAATTTTGTAATGTGTTGTAACTTTGTTTGTTGAGAGTTATATCTAGATTGATAAATACAAAACAACTGGATAGAAATACTGATTGATAAATAGTTAGAGTTAGATAGATATCACGCCAGATACTGATAGTTAGATACTAGTAGACAGATTAGTTTGATAGATGGATGGATGGATATATATAGAGAGATATATTGCACTGCTTCTCTGTTGTTAAAAACTTTAAATCAATACATTTTTAAGTTTTGTTTTAAAGATTTCAATATCTGGTATATAGTATTGTATATTATTATGGATCTTAGACTTTATACATGTATGTTTTCTGTTTGTTTCATTGCGTGTGTTTGTCACATGCTTGTTGTGTTATAATTCGATATAAATAAAGTATCCAAGTATCCAATAGTTTTGTTTGAAGGTCTCCTTATGGTAGTTTATAAATAACTGGAGTATTGCCCAATGATACATCATCCATTTTAACTAAATTAAAGGTTAGTTACTCTTTTTTCCTCTCTCTCTCTCTCTCTCTCTTTTATGTCTCTCTCTCTCTCTCTCTCTCTCTTATGTTAGTAAACAGTAACTTCTATCCAATCTATCTTTTTTCTTTTTTTAGATACTGATATAAATATGAATCAGTTTGTGAGACAATTTATTTATTTATTTATTTATTTATTATTTTGTTTATGGTTTTCATCACGTGCATGTGTCATTTCATTCATTCATTCATTTGTTTATTCAGTAATTTCTTTACTCATTCATTCATTCATTCATTCATTCATTCATTCATTCATTCATTCATTCATTCATTCATTCATTCATTTTTTCATTCATTCATTCATTTTTTCATTCATTCAATCATTCATTCATTCATTCATTCATTTTTTCATTCAATCATTCATTCATTCATTCATTCATTCATTCATTCATTTTTTCATTCATTCATTCATTCATTCATTCATTCATTCATTCATTCATTCATTCATTCATTAATGGCAGTAGTTGAGTTAGCATTTGATTTTATTATTTATACTTTGTGTGGTGATTCATAGTAATTATCATAACCGTAATGATTACGTGATGGTGTCACGGCCGATGATGATGATGATGATGATGATAGTTATAATAATAATAATAATAAAAACAATAATAATAATAATAATAATAATAATAATAAGAAGAAGAAGAAACTGCAAGTTCATC